CAGACCATAAATGCCCAGGGCCCTGTTGCCTGTATTGGGACAGTTTGATGACTTCATTGGATATTTTGGAGCATTTTAAAGAGAATTGCTGTGTGATGCCTTACACTTCTTCTGGTCAGCTTTGGAATACAATTACTGCGGGAGAGTTTGTTGATTTCTCCTGCACTACGGGCTATGAAGAAGGGCTTTTATCCTGTGGAACAAGTCTTGACTGGAGTGAAGAGACCAGAATTTGTTCGTGGGTATAACCATCCCTGTGGTTGGTTCTGTGTTCCACTTAAAGACCATCCAAGCCAGAGCCTTTTGACCAGCTATATTCAGACAGATCCACGCGGGATGATTCCTCAGTCTGCAGCAGATACAGCCATGGCCGGCACTTTAACCAATTTCTGTGGTGATTTATGAAGAGCCTTACAAAAGGCATGATACTGTCAGACTTCCAGTGCTGTGATCCCCTTAATCAACTCTTCTCTCTAGCTGGGAGGCCTGTAAAAATTGTCCATTCCTCTCTTCTGCAGAGCCTATAGAAAAATCTGAGAGTTTTCTTTTGATTTAGTTGTACAGTTTTATATTTTATTCGTAAAGTAAATAGCTATCTATGAGATACCATTTTAATTTTCTTAAATAGATGTTTGCACATTGTTTGGTATGGCACTGAATCTAGGGATTGAGAGTTAAACAGAAATCCCAAAGAAGTGGATAAAGTTCTTTGACCCAAACTCTTATATGGGCTGGCAGATGGTGAGGTGATTAAAGGTGCTGGATTCCCACGTGGCTGACCACAGTTTGAGTTCCAGATCTGGTGGTTAGCTTTCTCACGTTACCTTTCTCTTTCTCTGTCTCTCTGTGGTCAAGTTAAAAAATAATAACAAGTGGGGGACCAGACGGTGGCACGGTGGTTAACTCTGGACATTCCCCCATGACTGACTATGGTTCAAGTCCCAGACCTGGTGACTTGCTTCCTCTCTCTCTCTCTCTCTCTCTCTGTGTGTGTCTCTCTGGTCAAATTAAAATAAATGAATGAATAAATAAAATTAAATAAATTAATTCTTTAAAAAATAATAAGTGGAAGTAAATAAATAAATAATTCTTGTTTTAAAAAAAGAAAGTGAGCGTATAAAAATGTTGGCTGCATGGAAAGTAGAGAAAGCATGAGCTTTATGCTGTTTGGTTAAAATCACCTATTTTACAGCTTTATGAATAGCTAGAGAAATTTTAATTTTTTTGAAATGTTTTTGTTATAGAGTGCATGAGCTCACCAGAAAGACAGAGAGAGACAGAGACAGAAAGTGAGAAATCACCCCCCAAGGCAGATGGCCATGCCGCAATCTCTTCTCCTCCATTCTTCTCTCTGGATCTTCGGCATGCATGCACACATGCCCAGCATGAGTTTAAGCTGCCAGGTCTGGGACTTGAACTGCAGTTCACCACATGGGAGTCCAGCGACATAGCCATTATCACAACTGCTGGTCCCGTGAAATTTTAATTTTTTTTTTTTTTTGGAGAGGTTTTTGCTATAGGGCGCGTGTGCTAGCCAGAAAGACAGAGAGAGACAGAGAGACAGAAAGCGAGAAATCACCCTCCAGGGGGCGTGGCCACGCCACAATCCCTTCTCCTCCATTCTCCTCTCGGGATCTTGGGCACTCACAGAAAAGGGCCCAGTGAGAGTTTAAGCTGCCAGATCCGGGACTCAAACTACGGTCGACAACATGGGAGTGCAGAGACATAGCCATTATGCTAACTGCTGGTGCCGTGAAATTTTAGTTTTTAAGTTAAATGTTAATGCTTTACTTTTGGTATGTTTTTATTTATTTATTTTTAAATTAAATATCCAATTTTATTTTAGGAGTGGTATGTTTTTATGAGTTTGCCAATATTTTGGACAGACAAAAAAAAATCCTTCTCTATATTTTAAAAATATTAGCTTCATTGTCAATTGACTTATACTAGTTTTAAGCATTGAAAAGACCAAAAATGACAGAAGAATAAATATCATAGTAACTACAGGTACAATTCAAAGACAATTTAGTTTTGGGAACCAGCAGTTAGCGTAATGGCTATGTCGCTGGACTCCCACGTAGTCGACCGCGGTTCACGTCCTGGACCCGTCTGCAACCTCACGCCGGGCACGTGTGCGTGCATGCCCAAGATCCCGAGAGGAGAATGGAGGAGAAGGGATTGCGGCGTGACCATCCCCCCTGGGGGGTGATTTCTCGCTTTCTGTCTCTAATGTCTCTCTCTGTCTGTCTGGTGAGCGCACGCGCCCTATAGCAAAAATCTCTCCAAAAAAAAAAGACAATTTAGTTTTGATATCTAGATAGCATTCTTCTCTGGATATCTTTAAAAACACATCTGTGTCTTGGGGCTGGCAGGTGGCATGGTGGTTAGGAGTGCTGGACTCCCACATGGCCAACCATGGTTCGAGCCTCAGACCTGAAGGCTTGCTTTCTCACTTTACCTCTCTCTCTGTCCCTCTCTGGTCAAATTAAAAAATAAATAAATTCTTTAAAAAAAAAAAGGCACACACACATCTGTTTCTTTATGTGTATTTATTTTAGGAGTCCTAAAAACTTTTATGCCAGTACAAAAAACTGGCAGATGTGCTCTGGGGACACCACATTGATTGAGCAGGGTTCTGGGTTGTGTGAAACACTGGTCATGCCTGTAATTATCAATAGGGTCACCTTTCTAGAAAGTCAAATTCGAAAAATGATCTGTATCTGTTTCAGTTTTAGAAGTATAACTAAACTCATAAAGCAAAACAGACTACACCTTTTTTTTTTTTTTTTTTTTGGAAGGGTTTTAGACACAAAGAATTGGC